GGGTGTTCGTGCTCTCAGACGCAGGTAAATACCTGGCGGTGGCGTCACATGACAGCTTCGTGGACATCTACAACGTGCTGAGCAGCAAGAGAGTCGGCATCTGTAAAGGAGCGTCCAGTTACATCACGCACATCGACTGGGACGCCCGAGGTAGCACACGGCTCTCTCTCTCTCTCTCACACCTGACAACAGCGCTGCTGTTAAATCATAATGTCACACTTTAGATGCCGCCCTCCGCGCAGCAGGGGGCGCTGTTTAACAGAGAAAGGGCCTCAGAGTAAACGCTGGGCCTCTGGAGGCGAGCGTCCTCCGGTTATTCCCGCTCGGCGAGCAGCCGGCGAGTGTTTGCGGACATGTTGGCGTCTACTGTGCGAACTGCCGTCTGCTCCCGACCAAAACAACCACGCTCAGGTTATTGGTCCATGTTTCCATAGCAACCAGAGGTTATCAGGGGTCACCAACCCGTCCCTAATGTGACTGAGGACTAAGTTAAAGGGTAGATGCTAACATTTGAGTGATGCACAGAGAGTCTGCGAGCAGACGGCGAGGTCTGCGAGCAGACGGCGAGGTCTGCGAGCAGACGGCGAGGTCTGCGAGCGCGTTCAGACGATGTCTCTCTGCTGTCTTTGTGCTTCAGGTAAACTGCTGCAGGTCAACACGGGAGCTAAAGAGCAGCTGTTCTTTGAAGCCCCGCGAGGAAAACCACAAACCATCAGAAACTGTGAGGTCAGTGTGCACGCTGAGCAAGAGGAGGAGGAGCTCGGGGCCATGATGTCACGCCTCCAATGTGTTTCCAGCGGCGTGAACGAGTCCGTTTGTTCCGGAGACAGAAAAGCTTGACGTGTAGAAACGTTTGTGTGTGTTTGTGCAGCTGGAGCGGATCGAGTGGGCCGGCTGGACGTCGGTTCTGGGCTCCACCTGTGAGGGAATCTGGCCGACGCACAGCGACATCACCGACATCAACGCCACGTCGCTCACCAGAGACCACGCGCTGCTCGCCACCGGAGACGACTTTGGCTTCCTCAAACTGTTCAGCTATCCCGTCAGAGTACGACACACACACACACACACACACAC